GCAACTGAAGCGAGGGCTGGAAGCAGAGTGGAAAGAATACGTGACACGAGGCCGCAGGTAGGCAGGCCAGGCCACCCAGGGCCTTGCCCGCTCTTTAGTCATGATCCAGAGAACGACTGAGGAGCATCAGGCTGGGATGCCGCAACCCCTCCTTCCCACAGATATGCCAGAAACTCTGCAAGGACCCAAGAACGAAGAACAGACAAAAGCCCTTGCCCTCCATGGAGTTCACACTCTAATGAGAGAAGACAGACAGTAAACATTTACTTGCTTATATTTTAAATATATAAATATTTACTTGTTCGTATATTTTACTATATATAGTACTGAGAACAAAATGGAGATGAGGCTCCAGATAAGGGGGGCTAGGGACAAGGGGCAGAGGTTACTAGTCAAGCAGGGTAGGTTAAAGAAGGTCTCATGACAAGATGACATTGAACAGAGGCCTGAAGGAGGGCAGGGATCTGGCTATAGCATGTGCAAAGGCCCCAAGGCAAAGGGTTGCTGAGCATCCTGGGGAATCACACAGAGGCCAATGTGAAGAGTCCGGCAGACAAGGTCAGAGACAGCAGCGAGAAGGCAGGTCATATGGGGTCTTGTAGGTAAGACCATTGTCCTCGACCCTTGAGATGGGAAATCTTTGGAAGGTTGTACACAGAGAAAGGTTGTAATCTGACTTCTTTTAAAAAACAATTTCTCTAGATGATGTGCTGAACAAAGACTAAGGAGTGAGCGGGGGAAGGTGTATAAGGGGGTGAGGGGGAATGACCAGTTGGAAGGCTATGGCTGTAATTCAGAGGAAAGATAACAGAGGAGCTGGTGAATAGTAGTCACACTACAGGCAAACTTTTAAGGTAAAACCAAGGTTTTTAGCCTGAGCAATTAGAAGAATATAACGATCCTCAATGATACAGAGAACACCTAGAGAAAAGCAGGTTTGGGAGTAAAAATCAGTTTTGTTTTGGACATGTTAGGTTTGAGATGCCTAATAGAAATCCAACTAGGGGTTCCAGTATATCTGTTTATCTAGATACTCGAGTATATCTATAGGTTATAAATACATATACATATATGAGTCTGGAGTTAGTGATAGAAGGAAAGGCTAAAGACATAAATTAGGAAGCAGTGTCTAGATGTAATCAAAGCCACAAGACCACTCCTGCAAGGAAGGAGGTCGGTAGAGAGGAGAAGAGGTCTGAGAACTGGGACGCTCCAATATGAAGAGGCTGGAAGACGAAGAGGAACCACCAACTGGGCTGAAGATGAATGGCCTTCATCTGCTGTGAAGAACTCATTTGCTGCAGCATGTAAAGCAGACTGGATGAGAGTGAGACTTCCTGCAGGAAAACAAGGGTAAGAAGTTGCAACACTGTCCAACAGCTGGAGACCTGGGCCTGCTGACGGGTTTCTGCTGAGACAATGTCCATCATGGGAGAGTACAAAAATGCCCACAAGAATGGCAACAGCCAGCTTTCAAATAGCAGCCCACATCTCGGGGAAATCTGGGCATGCTGCTTTGCCAGTGCTCTGTACAAACTCAACCTTTAGATTCCTATCCTTTGCAATTTCATAAATGCCACCTTTTTTACCTGGGTCTCTTGTCAATTACATTCATGTAACATTTTGGCATCTATACAGAAACTAGTACAGCAATCCAGGTGACAGAAGTTGACAGAGAGGATCTGGGTGGTTACTCAAGGGGTAATATTGTCAGGATCTGTGAATGATCTAGAATATAGGGAAGGGGGGTAGAGGGAAGAATCAAAGATGATGCCTAGGTTTCTGGCCTGCAACACTGGATGGGTGATGTTGCCATTCAATTACCCAGGGAACAATGGAAGAGGGCCCAGGTGGGAGAAGATGGTAAGTTCAGTCCTGAAAATGTAGAGATGCTGAGAAGGCAGCTGGGACTGAAGCCCAGAAAAGAAATGGACTGAAGAGATCCGTTTGGAAATCATCTGCCTACGGAGTGAAACTGATGATATACACAGAAAAGGCTACCTAGGAAGAAGAGAAAATGGCCTGGGAGTGAGCCTTTTAGATACTGCAATATTCATCAGCTATAGAGGGTAAAATGAGCCTGCCAAGGAGGCTAAGAAAGAATAGCTAAAGAGGCGAGAGGAAAACCAAGAAAGTGCAGCAAGAGGGAAGCCAAAGCAAGACAGTGTTTCCAGAAGGAGAAAGGAAGCAACCACTGTCACCAATGAGAGTTATTATCTTTTGAAATATGTACTTAACTGATGATAGATCATCTCCGTTTGCCAGCAGATCTGTTGGACCTATTGATTTTTACCAAAGCCATTTGTGAATATAGTTAATAAAAACCATCATATAATAATTTTGTCATTTGTTAACACCTTTCTAATAAGTTATCCAAAAATTATCTTAATTTTAAGACAGCAAGGCTGATAAATGCATTGTGGATAAAACTACAGTTATGACATTGAAATGATTTTGGAAAGAACATAAAACTGGAGTTTCTGTCGTAGTCCTGGTTTTACCTTTACCTAGACCTTGGACAGAACTTTCTGAGTTTTGGTTTCAATGCTGGGGGCTGGGAGCGGGTATGCAGTAACTAACATGGGGAGCAGTAAACTGGCTGATCTATAACATCCCACCTCCACAAAATCCTAGAGTGCATAATTTTGTGGGAATACAGGGGTAAATATGTGTACTTAAGTCACACATTTTCAACAGTGGCCTCTATATGGCCATAAAATGAATTACTACTTCAAGCCATTTGGTTAGGTTTGGCCATTTCTCAAACCAACCAGATATTCTGACAGCTATGAAGCCTATTCCCTAAGGGAAGATGCTGAACAGGCATTTACTGATTCCCTAACATAGAACAAGATTCTATACACTAGTTTATTTCTCATATATGCTTATATGTTCTTAAGAATTTAATACCAATTCAAGGAGAAAACACTTTCTTTTCCACCCAAAAGCAGTTAACTTTGGTAATCAAACTGTTAATTTTAAATTAAATTTAAAATAACAGTACTGCTGATTTCCCATATAATGATACATGGGGTATGGTAGAAGCACAATAATAAATATTCATTGAGTGAGTGAGCGAGTGAGTGAGTGAAAGGACTGTATTTTGTTGGGCTTAGAAATTCTGCTGAAAAATCACATTTAAACATAGCCAGATAACCATATTCTCCCTAATTCTAACATTTGTGTCTCATATAAACTATTTCCAGGGTTCATGGCTGCAGAGATAAGATCCAATTCTATTCAAAACAAAACATGCATAAAATCTGTAGAAATGCAAAGTACAAAAGACTTATTATTTGCTTCAAGCATAATAAAACAGAAGGTGTGCACTAACAAACTATATTATAGTGTACTACTACAGCAGTCCTTTTTCCAAAGGGATACTTGCCAAGATCCCCAGTGGATGCCTTAAACTGCAAAAATACCAAAACCTATATACACTATGTTTTCCTATACAAAGTTGGATTCATAAATTAGGCACAATAAGAAATTAACAACGACTAAGAATAAAATAGAAAAATTATAACAATATACTGTAATAAGAATTATACGAATGTGTTCTCTCTCTCAAACTATCTTATTGTACGGCACTCACCTTCCCCCTTAACGGAAGCACTTTATGGCTTCTCTTTGGCACATCCAAATTAGCACTAGTCTTGTGCTCTGGGGCCATTATTTAGTACAATAATGGTAACTTGAACACAAGCACTGTGATACCGTGACAGTCAATCTACTAAGAGACTAACAGACAGGTAGCATACACAGCAGGAATACCCTAGATAAAGGGATGATTCACATCCCAGGCAGGAGTGGAACAGCACAAGATTTCATCACACTACTCAGAACTGTGTGCCATTTAAAACTTATGAATTGTTTATTGGAATTTTCCATTTAATATTTTCAGACCATGGTTGATCACAGGTAACAGAAACTGCAGAAAGCAAAACCACATTTAAGATGGGACTACTGTGTTTTTCTTTTGCCCAAGAAAGTATTTGCTTTCTCAAGCCCAGTTCTAAAGGGACCACTCCAAAGTTATTCCTTGTGCCTTGAGGATCATCATGACAGCTTCCAGATATGTTTTGTTCACCATTCTAGTTATATTATCGATCAGTTTCACAGAGTAAAAGTACACAGCAAATAAAAAAGTTCAATAAAACTTTATAAAAAGTGAGAGGAATGGGGCTGTTTCACTTTGTCCATAAATCAAATCTTGTCTCTATAAGTCCCTTTCAACTCCACCATAGTCTAGCAAACTATTGAGTCCTTACTCCCTCTGTCTTCTGATTTTTCATACTGTGCACTGGTGTCGGCAGTCTCAATGTGTGGAATGTCTGTGCACAGAAATTTCTTCTCACTAACATCCAATGGCCAAACACTACCCATCTTTAAAGGCTCAAACATCATCATATCTATGAAGCTTTCTTAGAATTCCACACCCAAAAGAAACCTTATCTTTTCCTAACCAACACAAGTGAGCAGTTTACCTATGCCTCTTTATAACATTTAAGATGGTTCTCCCTTGTATTTATATTACTTATTTACACTTTTTATAGTGTGCAGGTGTGTGTACACACATATACATGATAGATAGATGATAGATAGATAGATGATAGATAGATAGATAGATAGATAGATAGATAGATAGATAGATAGATAGATAGATGATAGAATTTGCAGTTATTTACTTACATTTTTAACTTCTAGTAATTTTAAACTCCTTATGGATGGACTAGGTGTCAACATTTGCTCCCCTCATAAAGCCTAGTTCAATGTCTTGCACAGAGTATGTGACCATTAAATGAAAAAGTATAAAATGAGTTCTTACCATATATTGCTTTGTACATAATTTACATAAAGAAATGAATAAAAACGTATGATATGCATGCTAAAGTCACCAAGAACTAAGTCATCAATTACATAAACAGGTATTTGGCTCTTTTAACCTTCGCTCTCTTATACAACAATCTATTGGAGGGGATGATTTAACACACACTCACAGTTAAGTGTCCTTCGTGATGATCTGGGAAATGAATGAATAAGTACTCTGTGGCTACCAGTTGCATTATGGAGTCACCCAGGAATTCCATCCTCTGGTTGTGGCCTCTGAATAAAAGAAATATCAATGTAAAGAGATTAATAAGTATTTATGGATTTTTAAAAACAGAATTTTTATAAAGACAATATTTTAAAAGGCAATATATTTGTTCAACTTGCTTTAAAGCACAAAACTCAATACAATTCCCTAAGACCTCTCAATTAAGAAGAGATATAAGTTAATATATGTTGAGTTTCAAAAGCAGAGTAAAGTGAATACTATCTAAGGACTAAATAGCTGCTGAAAGAAAGACTGGTCTATAAGGCCTGACCAGAAGCTGAGGAGTATCAACTGGAAGATAAAGCACAGCACAGACAATTCTGCACAGACGATCTCTAAACAGGCAAAACAAACCAAAAAGGTCCAAGAATTTTCTTTGCTAACTCTTCACCTCCTTGTTGAAATACGAGGGAGGAAAAAGTAGGTTTACAGTTGTGAGTACACAAAACAGAGTTTATTCTTGTATTATTATTTATTAATTTGTATTTCCTCATAAAACAACTGTAAACCTACTTTTGCCGATGCCTATAAACACTCCATTAATCCAATCTGGAATCTAGTTTAAGAATACTAAAAAAACAATGACAAGATTCTTTAATCTTTACAGTTTACAGAGAGCTGTGAATATTTGATTTGAGGGAAAGAAGCCAGAAACTGAATAAAAAGCAGCATGCAAAGAAATAACATTTTGGCTATTTTCTTTATTACTATATATTAGCTCATCTTCAAATCACTCCAGCAGAGCAAGGGTTGGAGGGCCAAATTCAGCCCTGGCCTGTTTCTGTAAACAAAGTTTAACTGGGACCATGTTCATTCATTTATATTTTTCCGATGGCTGCTTTTATGCTACTAGGGCAGAACCAAATCACTGCGACAGAGACCACATGGCCTATAAAGCCCCAAATATTCAGTATCTGTCCCTTTACAGAAAAAGCTTTTCCTTCCTTCACGCTTCTCTTAGACTTTATGAAGAAATCTGATGCATGACTATGAAACCAAATAACTGGCCTGGAGCACATCCCCTGGTCCGGGCCACTTGGCTACTTAGCCGTCTCACTGTTTCCTAGAAATAGGTATGAAATCCCAATTCCTTTGAAGGGCACGCAGCAAAGGTTTGGGGCTGCCTGTTTAAACGAACACGATGGGACTACATGGGTACTTTTAACTCACAGGGTCAGGTGGTTAAATCCCACAGTTCTCAATGTGAATGCTCTTGCCAGGAGCCGAACGTGAGTAAAAATCACTCCAATTGCTTCTTCAAACTCAGTCAGCTTCTGCAGAACTGGAGAAGTCTCGATAAGCTGTCGATCAGTATTTGGCTCTTGTAGCTACAAGAAAAGGGAAAGAAGTAAAAACCACGTATAATTTTTGGTTACAAGAGCAATTATCAATTCTAGGACAGCGTCTTGCAAATTCCTTCTCCCTTGGGTGGAAATTTCTGAAAGGCCAATAAACACAGAAGCCCCTTCATCATCCCTTAGAATGGCAAACAAACCTAGTATTTAAAGAAGGTTCAAATAATATTTTCCAATCTTCCATCAAATCTCAAGGCCAAGTACTGTACACAGATAGCTCAAAATCCCAAGTATTATACTAACTCTCCAAGGGAGAGGCAAGCTGAAGAGCTGCTGGTAGAGAATAATATGTATCTGGCCACCCAGGGGTCCTCAAACGTTAGCATTCAGCAGAACCCTCGCAGGGCTTGTTAAATGCATGTGACCGAGTTTCTGATGCAGTGGGTCTGGGGTGAGGACCAAGAACAGGCCTTCCTGATAATGGTAAGTTCCCTGGTGATGCAGAAGCTGCTGGTCTGGGGACCGCCCTTGGAGAACCACTGCATTCGAGTCACTTGACAGCTGTGTGTTTTCTAGGGACCATCTTATTTTGGCAAATGAGCATCACTGAAACTGGATTTGGCTTACAATGGAGAGCATTATGTCACCAGGCAGGTGCTCCACATAACAATGAGCCTTTGACAACTGGCAGAGAGCAAATAATGAAAAGTGTAATTGAAATGAACATTTTCAACAACTTCGGGCAATTTCATACTAATAAAATATTTCTAAAGTACTTTGAATTACTGCCATTTATTACTGTAAAGCCTCTCATGAGAGTTCAGTCACTAGTGATTATTATATATATATATATATATAATATACATATATGTATATATAACAATATGTATATATGAGTACATACATGTATACATATATCACATATATGTATATCTCCAAAGTAAAACAAAAGTAAAAGCAAAGAATACTAATAATTTTTAAACCAACTGGGGAAAAAGATGCCACCATATGTAGATCTTTTAAGTTCTAAAATCTTGAGTAAAAAGTTATCACACTGTACTAAAGTTTTAATTTATAACGTGTTTTATGCAATCTGAGTCAAAACCTTCAATTTCTAAGGCCCAAATTAGGTTACAATTCAGCAATGTTAATTTAGTATTTGTTCTACTTTGTAATATGCCCAGACTTGCTTCCATATTTGCTCTATAATAGCAGGCATGTAGATATACTGGAGTCAACATATGCTAAAAAATCACTTTTTGGGGCAAGTGGAGGGACCAAACCTCAACTGCACAAGTAGTCCTTCCTGCCTTGGAAGGGAAGACCATGAACATGCAATGCACGGGATCATTTTACTATTTGTTCCAAAGTTTTCCAGTTCTGACACCCCAGCTTAAAGTCATACTGCCACTGAAGGGAATCTAAGGATAAAAGCAGGACAGGGAAAAAGGCGAACTACAGTAACACAAATACCAGGAGCTATAAAGCTCACTGCAGACCAGAGGCCCACTTACCTGGAGTGGGTGGAGAGGGTAATTGAGCCAGACCTCGCGCAGGTCCTGGAAAATGGAGTGATGCCTTTAGTGCTCAAGGGAGCCATTTAACATGCTCTAGAGTACTAAATAAAACACCACTATGTGAAACACCGAACTATTTCAGATGCTGACTCCACTTATTGCAAATTCAATAGTGCTAGCAAACTAATTTTTTTTTAAGTGTACTCACCACTCAAGCTGCCTAGAGTGACTCTAATTAGCCTATTAGGTTGGGGAGGAAAAGAGCCACCCCCGTTCCCAGGAGTCAAAGACACCTTTTAAAACTAAGTTATATGTTTGCTTAACCTAATACACTGGATTAAGCTGCTGTTTTAATCATGTTTCTTAGATTACCATTCCCCAGAAATGCGCATCAGCTGTGCCTTCTGTAATTAAAAGTCATCTTGAATGTCTTTTATTTTAGGTGCTCATCCATTATCACATGAGCTGCTTTAAGATGGAGTGAAGACATCCCACATCTAGTTCCTGAACTCTTAGATTGACAAGACCACACTTGTACTGTGAGTCACTGCAGATGTTTACTTAAAAAATGGGAATGAGTGAATTTTGTGGAAAAGTCCAGTATATATTTTATCCATTGACTTAAATCTAGAGGCAGAACTTCCTCAGGATCAAAGTTTTAGACTCTAAGGAGCCTCTGACTGAATCTACTTTCTGGCCTTGATGTTAGGTTTTTGAAATAAATAACGAGAGGGTTTTTTAAGAGGGAAAAAATTTTTTTTTTAATTTGGGGACGGGGAGAAGTATAGAAAATTTACTATTCCTTGTGACACATGATGACAAAGTGAAATAAAATACCTGATACTTTTGTACAACTTGCATCTTAATAAAATACACTTAAATATAAAACTGTTCTTTTAAGGCACTTTAAAGAACTTCTCTTAACCAACTCAATAACCTTTCCTTTGAATTCTCTGTGGCAAGAATTACACTGAAGGTCACTCCCTTCTTGCAACTTTCTCCTATTCTCTCAATGCTTTTTTCCTTCCTCCGACACCCGAAGGAACATTTACCAGACTTCCGGCCTCACTCCTGACCTGTCATCTCCTTGGAGAGCTCCCCACTCCCACCATTTCAGCTAGGACCTCTTTTCTGCTGCAGTTCTGACCTCTCATCCAAGCTACAAGTCAGAAACTCCATGTGCCTTAATAAGAATCTTCTACCTCACACGCAAATGGCCAAATAATCACCTTTCACCTTTCCTTAACCCAGGGAGTACGGGCGTTAGGGAGGCTTGCAGGCTCAGGAGTCAGGTAGCCTGGGTGCATTCCTGATTCCACACTGGCATTTACTTAACCTCTCTGAGCCTTCCTTTCTTCAAGCACAAGACAAAGATCACCTCGGTACCTGCTGCAAAGTGCTCTCTGATGCCTCAGGAGCCGTTAACTGAAAGCACAAACCCAGGGCTGGCACACAGACACTGCTACTACTAACGGTGAGGGTATTAACAGTAACGACAAACAGCTCTCTTCCAACCAACTCCATTCTCCAAAACTCAAAAGTCTCTGAGACTTCTTGATTCATCTTTCTCCTGTGTTTTACCCTCAAAAACACTGTTATTTCTATTTGATGTCTGCTGCCACCCATCTTGGTGCAACAGCTTAACACTTCAGTCACAACAAGTGACTTCCATCCCACTGACTTCCACTGGGTCCGTTTCCTTCCATCTACCCTGCACCTGGGGATGAGGTTCTGCCGCACGTCAGTGTCAGGAAAAGTCCTGGAAAAGATCAGATTGGAATCCCAGTTCTACTCTTTATCAGCTTTTAGGCAAAGCCTCTACCTTCGGTTTGCTATAAAAGAAAATGTTCATTGACTCTTGGGCATTTGTTCATGTGTACTTTTATTGAATACCTGTTATGTATTAGCTACTAAGACGAGTAAGACACGATCCCTGTCCTCAAAGAAGCATGGTGGAGCAGAATAAAGGTAAATAAGTACAAGTTCATAAACTCTGATAAGTTCTACAACAGGGATATATCCTAAGTGCTAAGAAAATGCTGCCTGGGGTGTCAGATAAAGCTTCAAAGATGAGGTGACTCTCAGATGTATACAGAAGAACTTGAGGAATTAAGTAAGTAGCGGAGGGAGGGAATTAAAAACACGGTCCCATAAATGCACAAATAAGTCTCAGAGCAGAGAGGCACAAAGGGAAACTCCTAACTGGCAGAGCACAGAGGATTTCAGGGCAGTGAAAATACTCTGCATGACACTATAATGACAGATACATGTCACTTACACATTTGTCCAAACCCACAGAAGGCCCACCACCAAGCGTGAACCCTCACCTAAACTATGGAGTCCGCAGGATTAGACCTATCAGTGTTCCCTGACTGTAACTGGTGGGGGATCTTGGTAAGACGAGGCAGACTATGCCCGTGTGGGGGCAAAGAATGTATGGTAAATTTTGGTGCCTTCCTCTCAATTTTACTGTGAACATAAAACTGCTCTTATTAAAAAAAGGTTAATTCCTAGAATGGCACAGGAGTAAAAAGAGACTGAAAAAATAGGTGGGAGTTGAATTACGAAAGCTATTAAGTGGTACGTTGTGTGGTACAGACTTTGGCAGGCAGCAAAGAAACCAAAGATTTTAAGCCAGAAAGGCCGTAATCAAATCTGTGCATTAAAAAGACGACACTAAATGCACGTGAGTGATGGACTGGCGTGGCGGGGATGACGGGCAGTTCAATACTCAGGCGAGCAACGAGGACAACCAAGGCAGCAGGACGGCCTGGAGGGAACCAATGCGAGGCGTCAGGAAGAGAGCCGAGAGGAGTGCGAACTGAACGGCCACAGGAAGGAAAGAGCTTCAGGGTAAAAGGAGATCCTACGGTTTCTGGTTTAGAGAATAAAAATACAGGAGAAGTATGTCTGGGGGCTGAACTGAAGAGTGCAGACGCTGACCCTGTTGAAAAGAGGTGTCTCTGAAACACATACATGAATCCACCCAGCAGTAATCTCAAGACACTTTTTCCAGTTTCTAGATACTGGGACAGATGTGTAAAGACAAAAGACAAGTGGGGGAGTGGGAGAACAGGAAAGTTACACAGCCATCGCTCCCTCTTTCCAAGAGGCCGCTGGGACGATCAAGTCGAAACAGTGGCTCTGAATGTACCAGGGAAACCGTGAAGGGTTACACAAACCGGAAAGCACAAAACTGGCAAAAACTGCCTGGGGCTGAAAGAGTAAAAATCAGTTCAGGCTGAGAGAGAAAACAGCTCTGCTGTGACAGGCTGGGAGGGTAAAGCCAGCTGGCCGCGAGGTTAACGGGAACCACGCTCCCCTCAAGGTCGAGCAGCAGCTGTAAAATGCAAGACGACCCCTTTCAGGAGCTGTTTTCCTGCCGGCGCTGCCCTCTGACCTGCTCTGCCTTGTCTTACCCCCTAAATAAAGATTACTGGCGACACTCAATTGCTAAACTGCCCTCAGCTCCTGACAGCACCCAATCCCAAATTAATCCCAAACTAATCCGGCCTCGCACAAGGCACCCAAGGGCAGATCCCCGCTTCCCTGCCCTGCTCACAGCAGCGGCACCTTGCGGGCTCAGCGGGGACCCCGCTTCCTTCCGGGAGCGCCCCCTCTCCCTGCGTGGAGTGAATACTTTGTACTTTGTCAGCCTACAGGTCAGCCCCTGGCTGTCTTGGCCTCATCAGGCTTTCGCAATAGCGTTGTTCAAAAAAAGGCACAAAAGTTCGCCAACGTCTCTCACACACTACAACTAACAGACGTCAACCAACGTGCAGATGTCAAACGAGCCAGAAGGTCTGGGCACGCACACTGGACACGCTGAAGTGGGAGACCACATGTCACCGGGCCCTGATCCGTTTCACAAAAGGAGCACTACGACGCCTTCTGAGTCTCAGCCGTGCCATTCGTAAGATAATGTTCAGAGTCTGCGTTTCCACTTAGTCATTTATTCATTTCATTCCTTTAACAAATATTTATTAAATGCTGCACACACCAGCACTGCGCTCGGTACTGGAGAGAGAAGATAAGCTCGCTAAGTAGGCGAGGGGGAGAGGAGCTGTTCAAAGGGAGAAAGGAACCTACACAAAAACTGATGCAATTAAGCACACAAGGTGTAAAGCTCCATTTAATTCAGGGAAACAGCAAAGGAGTGGATGGGGGATGCAGATAAGGTGGAAGGAAAGGGCAGGGAGCAGGCGGGGAAGGGGCGAGTTTAAGGCGTGAGGGGCTCAGGCGTGAGGCTGGCAGGAGAAAACAAAATCCGGAGGGGCTGAGACTGCCAGCAAGGAGAAAGGCCAGGACAAAGATATTTTCAGGCTTGAACAAGTTCGTCTGCTACGGACAGACGTCGAGCTGTGCACTTGTTTACGGGGGTAGGACAAAATGGGGGCTCAGAACATCGGTACATCATTTTCCCATCAGAGGACATTCAAACACATAAAATCTCACATATCTATAAAAACAGGTTTTTAAAAATCATATCCTCAGATAGGAATGTTGTCCAGGTCCCATATTTCAAAACTATTGATTCTTTTTTTTTTTAACTACCCTAAGTAATACAGTAATAACATCTGACAGCCACTTAAGCTGAAGGTTGCACAAAAGCTTAAAACACTGGCTTCCTATGTTCTTTATTGCTCCATGAGGGCTATTTCATTCAATTATAATGACATTTCAATTTGGAATACAGAGCTGCCTCTCCCTTTAAATGTTAAATTGACTTGTTTTGGTACAAAAAGCACCCAGTATGCTCTCTTACGTGCAGGATTAAAAAGGTAGCTCAGGCAATATTCATAGCTTAATACTTGGTAACAATAGAAACTATTTCAGAATCTATCATTTTTCTTAAACTATAATTTGCTTTTAAAAAAAGTACTTCCATACTCTTTATTCATAGTCCTATCAGAAACTCCCTATGAAATGAGTTTCTTAAGCATACATTTATCTAGTCTACATAATTTACATAATAACAAATCATAAACAGAAAAGCCAAAAGGCTAGAGCTTCAACTAAGCCTGCATGGGGTAGGTACCCAATGACGATAAAACAGAAAATCATAATTAACTCCAAGATACTTCAAAATAAAGCAGAATCCTTCTATATTTGTATTCACATTTCACTTACAAGTGGCCAGGAAGGAAAACAGTAGAAGACAAAGTCCTCATGTAAATACCCACAGACCTCTCCCATCTGCAACAGAGCTGAATAAGCTATTTTTGGTACTTGCTTCTCCTACACTCTCTTTAAAACACAAAGACTAATTGATATAAAATTTTCTGTAATGATATGTAACTGAGAAAAATCAAATGAGTCGAGATAAATACCGGATCATTAAAGAGTAAGCGTCCAAATAACTGTTTGGCTTCCTCCAGGCTTCCCTCCAAGTAAACAGCTCCTAGATAAAAGGAAGTGAATGCCCAAAGGAAAGCTGCATTAATATTCAGAGAAAATTACATATCCCTATAAAAAGCAAAAAGGCAAGCCAGAACCCACTCACAGAAATAACCGACAAGATCAGAAGCCACTGTTTAAAGGTAGTGTTTTTCCTCTTTTGGCTACACTTTGTCTTATAAATGAGACTGAAATACAAAATTCAACTTCCTAAAATCTAAACCTAATATTGTAAGTAAAAGCGGAAAATTTGAACTATCATAAAAGGTATGGGTATGAGTCTTACTATGCACTAGTACTTGACTTTACAAAAATGTTATCATTGTAATTTCTGTTTATAGTTTCTTTTTCAGACCACAGACAAAACCTGAGTTCAGATCAATGAAGGCCTCTGCAAATAAAAATCAGGACAACGTTTACCTTTAATTTGAAATAATTATTTAAGATTTTTTAAAAACAATCAAGCACAGTACACACATTTACCATTAATCATAATCAGTAAGTACCACAGTGACATTTTAATTGCATATCAAATAGCTCTGGAGTAGGGTAGTCATATTTTTTGAAGTCATATTTTTATATCTGTCTTCGGAAAGGCCATTTTTCATGTAAAATGTTAAGAGTAGAGCTTTTGATGGCTAAATACATTTATTATCTGTTGATATTGGTAGTAATAATAACAACAACAACAATGATCATAGTAACAGGCAAGACCCTGCAGGATCTCTGATCTCAAGGGGGTGACGGAAGAGCAGGGAAGACGGGGCTTGGATTTGAGTGACTCCACTGCCAGTCAAATGAAACGGGACTGAAGCCAGCATTTGTGAAGACCTGGGACTGTCTCTGTTTATATTTTAACAGTGGATTTCAACTCAGTATCCCACCCACTCTCTCTCTCCATCTTCCCTAACTGAATGTATGAAAACCAGATTGTCTACAATAATAAAGCATGTTTTTAGCCTGTTGGAAAAAAATATATATATATCTCTGGATCGTTAAAGAATAAATGTCCAAATAATTGTTTTGTATTGAGAATAGACTTTTATGCAGTACGGTTTGGGGGCACATATGCCCTAGGCACCGTGCAAACCACTTTCACACACTCGTCTGCACCTTCCTGGGGCCTCAGTAAGAGGGTGTAACAGAATGATAGGATTTAGGCTCACAGTAGGTGATCTGAGGTTGTGTGAATGCAACTTTGCTCTGGATTGGATGCTACCAGGACTGGATATTAAGATCCCTGCAATAACTCTGTGAGGTAATACTGTCTCCATGTCACAGATGACGCAACTGAAGCTCAAAGAGATGCAGGAACTTGGCGAGGACACAAAGCTGAAATATGATGCAAGAGGGACTTGAATCATGTCAGCCTAGCTCTGGGGCCAACTGTAACACTGTCAAAAACGCGTACAGAGAACAGTAATGCCATGTGACAAACTGGAAATAAGACACAATTGTGCAAAAAAATGTGAAAAGACTGGGTAATTATTAAACATTCTCTTGCTACCATCATGTGCACAAAACTATAACGGGAAGCTTTTATACTCATTTTCAAAGGAAGAGCGAAAAATTGATAAGGAAGTACAAAGGCCTTTGAAAAATAAAATGTACTCAATCATTCACCTAAAAAAATGAAATCAAGGAGTTGTCAATCTACTGTAATGTTTCATTGTAAAACTCACTTGCAACCACCAGCTAATTAGCACTTCACAACTTTCCTGTACCAACCCTGACTGTGTTCTGGTTACAGAGAAAAAGAAACTGAGGAAGTAGAGTGTCTGCATCAGTCTTGCTCCAAGACAGTAAATAATAGCTGTATAGACTCAAGCCCTGGGGTTTTAAAAATGCCATGTTTTCAAGATGTTTAAATCCAAAAAATCTTGTAAATAGTTTAAAATGTGATCACAAACAATATTAGGGCCTCCCCAGCAACTGAGTTACTGTTTATTTATGGATGCGATCCTGAATCAAATCTGGAAAGCAATCCATCTCCATATTAATTCACTTCACTTCAACTCAATATACACATCTAAGCATGTACGTGACGTCAGAGCATCTAGGCACCAGGATGCAGGAAAGAAAGCACAACTCTGCCCAGAGGAACCACAAAAATGACAGACAGTACAAAGGGAGTGTTACACTAGGGACCTCACAGGCTTTGGGAACAAGTCATTCTGTCCCAAGTCTCCACAGAGTTTTATGTGCTCTCCAGACATTTTACACATGCAAGAAACTAGATTACAAAAAAAGAAATTACCTATTAATGCTTCAAAACAATTAGCCATTGCGTGTCGAAGGTCTGATTCTCTACAAAGGTCAGGTCCATGGGCATAAAGCATAAATCGATCCAGTTCAAGTTTCTACAAAATTCAAAATGACAGAAAGAATTTGGCAAAATCACAACCATAATAACTCAACAACTCCTAGGGATAAAGGTTATGGTTACAAATTAACAGGCCTATGTCACTGTACTAAGAAAGNAAAAGAAAGAATTTTGGCAAAATCACAACCATAATAACTCAACAACTCCTAGGGGTAAAGGTTATGGTTACAAATTAACAGGCCTATGTCACTGTACTAAGAAAGCTGAGTCTACTATTCATCAGGAGTCCTTCTTACATATGATTCAGCACCAACAAACCTTGGCTTTTCTCCAAGCAGGCTTCTACAAACTCTATTCCAAGTTCAGACCGAGCACTAGCCCAAGCTGAAATAAGACTTTGCTAAGTCACCCAGTATGTCCAGGGAGACACAAACCCAACCCAAAGTTAACCTCTGACTCCACAGTTACATGGTACTGACGACAGTGGTGCCATAAAGAACAGATTGTTACGTGGCAGACTAAATGGGGGCCCTCAGAAGACTTCAAAATGCCTTGTGTCTCTAAATCTTTTCTTTTGAATTTAGTAAGGATTTGGGGGAACCTATATCTCTGTCCCTGTGTCCCCTTTATGAGGTTTCTACACTCCCCTTTTGGAAGGCTCAGTAAGAACCTCTCAGCAATGGGTTGGATTTATTTTAAGGGCTCCGGGAATGCTGTTTGTAATGAATTATTTCCTTTTTTATTTGGCCTCAGAAAAGTGTAAAGCCAAATTTGTGGCCCAGTCCTAGAAACTGTGTAGCACTTACAAATACATCTGCTAACTTTACCTCTGGCTTCATGTGACTCTTTTATCCATATTTTCTCTTTGAGTTCAGTACCTACTCATTTCTTATCCTACTGTATTATAATATAAAAATCAATTCAAGTCCTGTTAGAACTAGACAGAGAATGTTCTTTTTAGATAAAACTCCTGAGATTGAATGAATAGAAATCATAATTCTTTCCATAAAAGGAGATACAACATTGCATAAGCATGCACTAAATCTGTTTCCATTACCACGTAATTCAAGTCAATAAATACTTACTAAGCAATAACATGGCATGTAACATGAAACAAGACACAAGTCAATGAACAACCCAGGACAATATGAATCTCAGATAAAAGATACTCAGATTTTGTGTATCTCGGTATACATGTAAAAATACCCATATCCATTTATATTGGAAAAAGAGACAATAAAAACAAGACATAAATGCTATCAGTATTTTGTATTGCTAGGAATTCATGAGTATAAAATAGACTCAAATGAGAGTTTTGACTACTACAAATGCAACAGCAGAAAACACCTCTTAAAAAATTGATCCCCAAGTGCAAGAGTTTATACCAGAATATGTAAATGTGATTTGTTTCACAACTTCCCTGGGAAAATCCAATTGTTTACTATCTCTGGAGAACCTCCTTGAGCACAGACTGAAAGCCATATTTTATATTATAAACAACTATTTTGGAATACTATGAATTTTCCAACTTCTCATAATCCCTGCTCTACATCCTTGCTTTTTCATGTAGGCATCAGTGAAACTTTTAAAAGGGAGTGATGTTCAGTTGTGCATGTGCTAAAATGTTCATTTGTCTGAAGAGCTGACAGAGCTTTCACTAAATTCTCAAAGGGGCCAGCAATCCTCCATCAAGTCCCCTCCTCCCAAATGGTCAAGAACCACTGGTCTAGACAGAAGGAGAGCAAGACCACATTGCCTTCTGCTAGAGCAGACGGGTGTTGAGTGCTACGGGAACGCTGGATGTTGGTGTGGAGGAAGATCACACAGAAATCCCTAAAGGGAGAAACTGGCCACCCCCTCATAGCTCGTGGCTTCGTAAAGCACCCACTGTGTTACACAACAGCTTCTGTTTTCACGCTATGGCAACTTCCCACACTTTATAAATATCATCCCTAAAATTGTTTAAAAAATAATTACGCAATTCCATTATTTCTGAAACTGGAAAGAAATCAATGGGGGGGGCAGGGGGGTCACAATCTATTTATTAACATTATTTCCAGTGAACATTTATGTGGACGATCAGAAAGCAGCCTGACAATTTAATCAACTGAACACTGAAGCAGTTTTGGTTAGAGTTGTGGAACTTCACTCATTGTGAGGCTGCTGAAACCAAGTTACACACCTGTTGCCTGCAGCTTTTCATTGAGGCATCACTATTTCCAGTCTCAGAGGCCACTAAAGCTGGGTCCAAGCCTACCTTTGTAACTATGAGATGATGATGCTGCTACAGAAAATAAAGCAATGCACTCTTGCTAACACAAAAACCATGGGATAAAATTAACCCCACTGTGAATGTAATTAATGCCTTGGCAAGATCAAATTAAGAAGTCAATCATAAAACTAGAATGGGTTTTATGGAGTCATTTCTATCAAATTCCAACACATATCAAAATGAAGAAAACAATAAAAATTACTTAAGGGGAAAAAAAAAAAAAAATCAAGGAAAACTCACAAAAGCTTTTTCAGTGGATCATCAGTGTTTGGGGACTGACGAGTCCCCCTGCTATGGAATAAATCCAGAGGTCTTTAAAATGTAATGATTTATAATGAGAATAGCAGTAGCAGCAATAAAAACGACCAACTTCTTCGAATTCATTTATGTGTCTGGGTGATCACTAGGATGAACAGGCATTGTGCCGAGCCCTTTATAAACGGAATCATTAAAACTCCAATGATGCCGTCACGTGGTTCTCACAGCTCCTCCGCCTGGCGGGTGCTGATGCCAGCTCCGCTGTGCCGATGAGAAGGCAGAGGCCTGGATCAGAGGAAAGCACTCTGCCCACGGCCCCCGGTCTGCAAGAGGAGGGGTGTGGACCAGAATCTTATGGCCGATGCAATTGCCCGTGTTCTGTCTGTCACGATTTACTACAATGAGACGCCACACAGAGATGGGAACATCGGATGGGATAATGAAGTCATGTGCCTACCGTGGATCTAGATCGAGAACAGGTTCTGTGAGTCACTTGGCTCAGTCAAGGTGGCTAGCTGGACCGCCTAAACCCTAAATCTTAATGAATGAGACTTGTAATTTTGGGGGATTCTCAAAGATCTATAAAGTATCCCCTATGGATATAAATGGCCTGGAGTATTCTATTCAAAGTTACAGTACTGCTTCTTTTTTTCCTCTAATCCTCACCTGAGGATATTTTTTCCATTGCTTTTCAGAGAGAGACAGAGAGACAGAGGCAGAGAAACATCAATTGGAGAGAGACATCAATTGGTTGCCTCCTACCCGCGCCCTGACTATACTCCAACCGGGGCCGGGAATCAACCTGCAACTGAGGTAGGTGCCCTTGGCCAGAATCAAACCCAGGACCCTTCAGGGTTTGGGCCAACACTCTAACCACTGAGCCAAACTGGCTAGGGCTATAACTCTGCTTCTTAAAGTAAATTAAAAAACAAATGTAATACAAAAAGTATTACACAAAGGAAAAGTACAGAAAAAAATCATTTCTTTTGCTCTGCTCTCAATTTCCTTTTCCCCAAATATTTAACTCTGTTCCTGCACATCTGGCAAAGTCTTCCCCTTCTGTTATCAAGTTCCCTCACCGTGGAGTTCATTAGCTGCCAGAGAAACTCACAAAGGTAACCAAACACTTTAGGCTGAATCCTTAAAACCCAAACAAAAAAATATTTCCTGATCTATAAAATACTAAACCCTTAATACATGCTAAAGAGGTCCTTATTCAAACGCAAAATTATGCAGGGACAGGAGAAGGGGGCGTCAGGCTCCACTCCAGTGTTCAGACCGCTGATATACCTTTGCTAGCATGGCGAGGTGCTGATTCTGAACGATGGCAGTCCGGTAAGTCGCTAGACCTCCTTCTTCTAGACTAGGAAACAGATAGTACAAATGGACACTGGAAAAAAAAAAGCACATAGATAAATATGCATCACAACATTCTGTCTGTGGCTCTGAGTCACAAAAACGGGCCGGGCCAGGGATCTGTGCAGTAGGCACGAGCTGAATTGAACAGAGTTGAATGGTTTGTCAGGAAGTCTTTGAAAGTTAAATAGAAAGCACAGTATATCTGAATGTGTCAAAACCCAAACGGCACCATTCTCTCGCATTTCCACATTTATTTCTGTTAGAAGGTTCCTCTGGAATCTGATGACAACAAAGACCTGAACAATGGCACACGTGGCTAAGAGCAAACCCATCTGACACTCACGACTGGGCCTGGAAACAAACGCTTTTCTTGGGTTAGGCTTTGAGTAGCCCCTGAAGAGAAGCCCGGGGAGCCCCAAGCAGGGCGGCAGTGGAGGCACATTCTTCCCAAGGACAGACAGGGACAGGGACAGGGACAGGGACAGGGACAGAACCGACAGCGGCACTTGGGGCTTGCTGTGCGGTGAGAATGAGCCTAACGGGGCTGAGCAGGACAGTGCGGGAACCGGGAAGAAGGCCCCGTGGACACCGTTTTGGACCACAACAGCGACTGATGTCTCCTCAATCTCACGCCAGTGGTTTAGGCCCACGAAGCTTGTTTAGTCCCACTGTGTCCAGTGAGAGCAGGCCTAGAGGGCAGCCGCTTTGGCTCAGTCTGTCCTTCTTGGGAAAAGAAATGACCTAAAGAGAATAGGAATTGCTCAAGACAGTTCCAAGAAAAGCACACGTTATCTCCCTTTAAAAGAAAAATTATGTGAAAAAACAAAATACACTTTCCTACCCCTACCTCCCAATTAAGGTCCCTCAAACACTTCTGGGGAGAAAACACACACACACCAAAATCTCGATTTTAAATTACTTGTAAGTTTTACTTCCCTTGAGATCAGAAAGAGTGAGAAAGGGATCAGAGACAAACCCTAGAAAATGAAATGACATTTTAAAATATCCTCCCTTTCTCTACAAATTGAACATAAGCTCTGAAGCATCTAGACCAAGGCCGGCTGATCTCTGTGGCTGCAGCAGCTTGAACATGAACTTGACAGGACAGACGGCCGCCTTGCATCCTGTAACCTTGCTCATCACAGCACCAGTGAGTGCGAGCCATCAGGGCAGGAGCCACCGACGTGCGGCTGTCAAGCTCCACGGCAGGGACAAAACACAAGACGTTTCGGTGGCTGCTTTGGCTAATTGCGAAGAAGGCACCATATTAAGTATGTTACCTATAAAGTGCAATTCAGGGGAAGAGCAGAAAAGCCTCCTTACCTGGTCAGAAATTCGACAACAGCATCACCCAGGAACTCCAACCGCTCATTGTGATTGATCCTACAGGAAAAATTTTAAAACCACTTAAAATAGCACACATTTACATCCACTCTTTCTCTCCTCAAAGAAAGGGCAGGTGAGGGTTAGCTCTTCTAACAATGAAAACACCCTACTGTGTTCTTCTCGATGGAGAGCGCTAACCACCATCTCAGCCTAACGAGAAAGTGAGGGACGTCCCCTCACACCATGGGGTTCAGGCTTTCCCACCCAGGGCTTCTTTCCCCTGGGAATCAGATTTAAAGTGAGGAGATGGCACCCCAACAACTGTGAGTCTTCTACATTGCTGTCAGGTAGGGAAGAGAAAGAATGTGTTCTACAAGTGTTAGAACCCACCGCTGCAAACTCGGGGAACAATGTTCTAGGGATAGCTTCCCTCCCATTGCCCAAACTCTAGCCAACGTTACCTTTTCAGCCCCATTACCCTGTACTCTCCCACTTATGTCCCGGGCTCCTGCTTCAAAACTGCCTGGTACCCTCTAAAAGGGCATCCCCCAAACACTCGGGGCCTCTGTTCAGGCCAGCTCTCTGCCGCCCTAGGGCGTTCCCTCTTCCTGTGCAGGAACCACACTGGAAAGCTACTCATCCCTCAGGTCCAGCAAAATATTAACTTCTCTGACTCAGTGATAGCTGGGATTTGGAAGCTGAGCAAAAGGAAAGAATAAAGGGCAATGCCTAGATTTTGTCTTAGGCAGCTGTGCAAAAAGGTGGCATTTATTGCCAGAGGAAGACCAAAGATGGAGTCTGAGGAGAGGCGAGAGCTGCATTCTAGACATGTTACCTCGAAATGTCCATAAAACATCCAAATGCAGAGGCATGTTTGTACTATTCGTGGGTGAGGACAAGGTTGGGAATGAATCTTTAGGCGTGGTCAGTGTTTAACAGGGTTTCGGGCCACGGGACTGGGTGACACTGCTTAGGGAGGGAGCGCAGCCAGAGAAAAGGAGTCCGGGGATGCAGCCCAGGGAAGGTCATGGTAGAGGTCAAGCGGAAGGGAAGCCAGCAGGGGACGGGCCAGGCTGGTGGGAGGAAAAGGCAGCCAGTGTTATCCTCTAGCCAAGGAGAGGAACATGTCTCAAGAAAGAAAGGTACAAGTAAGATGAGAAGAAATCGCTGAGGCCACTGACGGTGGATACGAACCTATTACTAAGGAGTTGCCTAAAGCCATAAATGAGAAGAATCTGAGTACTTGCCTCAGGGCGAGCAGCAGAAAGAGAAAACATGGGGTTTGGGGCTTTATAACGTGAGGAAACCAGAAAGAATGGTGAGGAAGAGAGGGCATGCCGAGCCCCTGGGACCTGAGCAAAGAAGGCAAGGGACGGCCTGGGCCTGAGCAGGAGCTCGCCTCCCTGACTCCAGGGGCTTCTCCAAAAATTCAACAGCTGACTATCAAGTCTAAACCTGACTGGCTTCCCAAACCATTCTTTATCTAGTGCCATCTTACCCACCCATTTTTATCTGCTTCCAATAGCAACTGAGAAATCTAAGTTGACCAACGTGGGCACTGTACCAGACACACACACACACACACAAACACCCCTCCTTTGCATGTTACCTCTCCTAAATCTGCTTATTCTAAGGTCAACTGGGGGGGCCTGTCCAAACTCCCAGAGCTCTCGGGGCTGCAGGCTCACCCACACCTCCATCCCCACATTTATCACTCAATTTGTGACAGAATTACACACTATTTTTATTGTTGTCTGTTTCATGTGTGCCAGCAGTTTAGTTTCCATATTTAAAGTCTCCCTACAGTTCCAGTAAATGTAAAAAACAGAAAAATATTTGTAAATTACATGACTCTTCGCTACCAAATCATCTACTTGGCATTTTGAATTCAACTGTATATTATTTCACATAGCTCATAAGTAAGTTTATTATCCTTCTACCCTACCAGTCCTCCAAATTTTGGAATTCTAAAAGAAACATAAAGGTCAAAGGAGAAAACTAGAAAGATTTGAACAACAAAGAAGAGATTCTGAACCCTCATTTCAAATTATGGCTTTAGTTATATGGCAAAGGCATTCTAGCAAGCCAATAATGGAAAGTAAAAAAAAACAAAGAAAGAAAAATTTGTGGCTATGGTGAAGAATTTAAAATCTAAAAGTTTACTTAAAAAAGGAAGTAAAGAAAACAAGCATTAGGTCCTAAAACAGTAGCAAGCCCTGGCCAGGGTGGCTCACTTGGAGTGTCGTTCTGTACACCAAAAGGTGGCAGGTTCGATTCCCAGTCAGGGCACATGCTCAGGTTGCAGGTTCAATCCCCAGGTCAGGGCGTGTGCAGGAGGAAATCGACTGATGTATCGCTCTCACATCGATGTTTCTCTCTCTCTCCCTTCCTCTCTCTGAAATCAATTTTTAAAAATCTGCAACAGTAGCAAATCTTCTGTTCTTCTCCATTGTTATCCTTTCTTAATCACCCCCATTATAAATACAAGCCAGCTCCAAGATGAGATGTTTACTGAGCAGTAAACACTCCATTTGTTTCTGAGAAATGAATCAACAGAGGCATTCTGAAATCCAGATTAACTGTAATATTTATACAGCGCATTTGGTCTGAGGAATTAAAAGCACTTTATAAAACACAACAGTCTCCCTGTAACAGAATAACTGTAAGATGTCATTTACTCCATGGAAAACCATCTTGGATTTGGGCTAAGCCCATGAGGAACTGAGAGAGTGAGTGTCTGGACACTTTCTCACTCCACCTTCTAAGCCTCAGGCAGCGATGGATAGTAGAGCTAGAAGGAGCTTTGGAGCTTAGTCCAACCCTCCACCCAGTTCAGGAATCCCCTATATTCATTACATCTATCTACCTGGACACTCGGGGGGCAGATGAGGTCACAGGTCTGCTAGATCTGAGACCCACTGGAGCAGTGGATCCCAGGTTAAGCATATATGGGATTTAACTTGAAGTATTTAAGTCAGTAAATCCACTCAGCGGAATTCACATATATTCAATATATATTGTTACTTTGTTTGTAAGGTAATATACTTGTGTATAACTGACTTAAAATATATTTTGCAATTATCATTTCCCTAAACACAGAGACATTAATAAATATCCACAGGTGTCTCTCTGTGGTCCAATAGATTCTTATGCATTCTGTCCAGCAATGACGCTACCAATCAAATCAAAACAGAACAAACCAAGGCCGCTTGATTCTCCCCTTTTCCCCTTACCAATCTTCTGTCCCCTCTTTCCCAGAGGTCTTACTGACAATACATGGATTACTTAAATATCACGAGATGCCTAATCCTTCAGAGACCCTTTCTGTAGTAACATTTCACTGCAATTTGCATGAGTTAAATATAACTGAAATTTATGTGGCTAAGCAGTAACACTTTTTAAAATTATGGGTGGCTCACTTGAGATGATGCCATCGTAAAAATTAATTATTTTGTAGTTCTGATAGGCAGACAGGATTTTATCTATTAATTTTAAGTCTTTGTGACTTTTTGTAAATCCTAACTGATCCCAAGTCAGATTAAATAAAATGCTAACTAGCCATTTAAACCTCTGCTGATGGCTCTGACCATGACCCTTCTTAATACCCCAGCTCCCCTACTGCTAGCCAACAAGTAAATAACCTTGGATGAAAGTAAAATCATGAATGGCATTCTTTCCTTTAACACTTATTATACTGAGGCCCTGCTCTGTGAAAGGCACTAGTTGCAAGAGGAAAGGAAATTTAAAAAGAGAAAAATAAAAGAGTAAGACCACAGACCTCCTAACTGCTTAAAGAAAATTGGCCCATCACATAATTATGAAACATGGGAGACCCAGAATATGCACCACAAAGCAGAAGCCTGCAGGGTGTGGGCAGTGGCCATGGGTTGCAAGTCATTCCATGGTGGCTGTGCAATGACTATGGCATTCGGGGAGGGCAGACAGTACACTTGACAGCACAGTACGTACTTCAGTCTCACTGGTGTGTAGCCAGCCACAAGTAAAGACAGATGTGCCTGGAAGAGTGGCCTGGGGCCAAGTCATGCCTGTTGGGACTGCCAGGTGGGAAGGTTCCAACTTATTCAGTAAGCGACAAGACATCACAGAAAGCTTTCAAGCAGGTTGCCACTAAGAGCAAGAATCAAGCTCCAGAAATAGCAAGCAGACTGGCTGCAGTGTGCAGGGGAACTGGCAAAGGTGGTGACTAATTCACCGCAGAGTGGGCAGGCTGGGAGGAGTGGTTTTCAGGCAGACAAGGAGAAGCCCATCAAGAGCCCCCCTCTCGGCCCTCTCCCTCGCCTGCCCTGCTCGTCCACCTTCCCACTGCCATCGGTGCCAGAAACAGATTTCCCAAATGGCTTACTAGCTAGCTCACTCTTCCCTTAATTCTGAGCAGGCTTGCTTGGGAGGAGATATAACCACTGACACAGTTTCATGGTGTTTGCTTCAAAGATACACAAACACTTCCAAGGAACAGAGACTGCTGTGTCCCATTTTACAATAGCAAACTAAGGAACAAACCGGAGGAGAGGGCAGATTGTTTCAAGTGAACTCAATTATTCAAGTGCACAGCATAGAACTGACCTGTAATCACTAAACCACCACCAGAACGATCCTGAGCCCCACAGCAGTCTCATGTGTACATTCGATGTTGACCTTCACTGAAGGACTTAGCAGAGTCTCCCTTATATTTGGTTATTTATGTTTATAGCACTCTTACCCCACCCCAGGTAGCAGGCCTCCTGGTGAGCAGATCTTTGACTTACTTGTCTTAGATCACCTAAAATACCTACAAACCTCCTCAAACTCAAAAGGCACTGGATAAATGTCTGTTGAATTACATGTGCATGAAGCTTCTTAAGTGCAGCTCCCAGGCTGTGCCCAGCTGGGGAACACTAGATAGCAACGTTCGAGCAGCAGCAGACCTGGCCACAGAGGCCAGGAGGCTCTTTCTGAATAGAAACTCAGCCAACTGTGTATCAGCAAAAAGATCAGAGATAGGGCAAGGGACTCAACACAAGCACCAAACGCAGGAAGTCAAAGGGCAAAATAAATTGTTTATTCTCTGTCGATGGTATGTATCATTTTCAAAATGGGAAAAAGAGTTTCTCAGATACCATTCCTTTTGCATCTCTTTGTAATAGAGCAAAAGAAAACATAAATGGTGACATTTGAAAAGGCTATCAAACACATAATTTACATAGCAACAACTGTAGCTGGGGCAGGTGGCACAAAGATTATCTAAACTTGCCTCATCAGCCATTGGGCATCTGCTTTCATTCAGTTTTCTGGGGTGTTAATGAGTTTATACAGGCCTAGCCCACTTCCTTCCAGACTCTTCAGGGACTCAAGGCTACACAAAATAAGAATCTTAACATATGAAAGTATCTTTTAAAATCAAAAACTAAAATAAGGAAAGCTAACATATAAACTTTCCAACCCATTAGGTAAGGCCAGTATTATTCTAATACTGAAACCAGACAAAAGCATCACAGGAAATGAAAACTACAGAATTGTATCTCCTTTAGATACAAGAACCCTCAACACTAAGAAACTAAATTCACAGCAAAAAGACTATACACCATGATCAAGTGGGATGTACCCCAGGAAACAAGGCCAGTTTAACACCCAAAAACCAATTACTGATACAACAAGTGAATAGAATAAATAAAAAAACACCAAAACACAATAAATGCAGAAAAAGCATTTGACAAAATTCAATACACTTTCATAATAAAAATATTAAGCAAACTAGAACAGAAGGGAACTTCTTCAACCTGATAAAGGGCATCTAAGAAAAACCCAAAGCTAACATCAGGCTCAATGATGAAAGACTGAATGCTTTCGCCCCGGCCAGGGGGCTCAGGTGGTTGGCGTTGCCCCGTACAACAAAAGGCGGCAGGTTCGATTCCTGATCAGGGCAAATACGCAGGTTTCGGGTTCAGTCCCAGTCAGGGCACGTACAGGAGGCAACCCATCCATGTTTATCTCTCACATCAATGTTTCTCTCTCTCTCTGTCTCTCTTTCTCTCTTATCCTCTCTCTCAAATCAATAAAAACATATCCTCAGGTAAGGATTAAAAAACAAAACATATGTCCACACAAAAATCAATACACAAATGTTCATAGTGACATCATTCATGATAACTGAAAAGTGGAAACAACTCACATACCCATCAATTGATATATGATTAAATAAAATGTGGTATAACCATACCATGGAATATTACTATAACATAAAATAAGCCAGTCACAAAGGATCACAACATACAATGTAATGCCACTGATACAGAATGTCCGGAATACACAAGTCCATAAAGACTGAGAGCAGTGGTTGCCCAGGGCTGAGCAGGCTGCGGGAAATGGAGAGTAACTATTAATAAGTACAGGGCTTCTTTTAAGGGTGATGGTGAAATGTGCTAAAATTAGGTAGTGGCCATAGTTGCACAATATTGTGAGCATACTAAAAAGTACTGAACTATATACTTTAAATGGGTGAATTGTATGGTATGTGAATTATATCCCAATAAAGCTGTTACAAAAAAAATCTACTTTACCTTGAGGGAGTTGGGTCATCTTGGCCAAGGCGTGACATAATATTTATTAGGGTGTTAATTCCTATTTTAGAAAGAAATACACAAGTAAATACTGTTAGAAGCATTCTAGGGCCATGATATGACACAGGAAAAGAAAATTATCCAGCTCACCCCAATATGACTTTAAAAAGTTTAATATCTGCACGTGTACAACTTTAATCAGCTTAGTTACTTAAAACACTTGGTAAGAGAAGAAAATGTTTCTAAAAAACTATCCACCCTTCTTACGATGCTCTGCTCAAGTGAATGTTATTGTGAATGGGTCAAGAAGCACTGAAGAATCAGAGGATGGAACAGTCACCAGGGCACCACTCCTGCTGGAGACTTAATTTACAGCCGAGACTGCAGGCCAAAACACGAGGGTAGAATCCAAACATACCTTTTTTCCGCATGTGCATGTGATGAACTTTTCTATCTCCATATTTGGGCTGCCGAATTCCACAGTTAGACAAAGAATTCCTGGCATGATCAGGATTCATTCCAAAATTTAAGTGATGGCTGGGGTGGGTCATGGCCAGCTGAAATTTCAATGAAATAAGTTCAGTCTTAAAAAATCAACATAGAAGCTCTATCTTTACATTATCCCAGATGAAACAGGAAAGAGATCTGTCTATCCAGTTGATTTTTAAGCCCCCATCTTATCTCCTCCAGTGTCAAATTTCCAGGGCTCTGGTGTAAACTCTCTTCTAAAAATAAATCGAAAAATCCACATCTTTCAGGGGAGAATTAGGGTCTTCAACACCTGGAAAGAAGAGCCATAAAGAAGGAAAAACTGAAAGAAGGGGCTCAGGTTTGACAGACCAATTTTTGCTTTAGTTAATTTTTTTTAGGGACAGCCTCAAAAAAAAGGTGAAAAAAAGGGTTTGAAAGTGGCAACCAAAATAGAGGAGAGAGCTATGTTTCTAAACACTGTCATCATCTCCCAGAAGAGAGAACTCAGTGCTCCACTTGAAACCTGCAAGACGAATTACTCCTATCTTGTTATCACGGGAGTGTGCAGGAGAGTGATTCTTACCTGCAACAGACAGCGATCTTGGAAAGTATATCCTATCAGCTTGTCCAGGTGCATCAGGCATTGGTGGTAGCGGATGTGATGGGTCAAAACAGGTAGCATCATTGCATGCTGGAAAAAACATGTTTCACTATGTTTAATTCTATAAAAACCTTTAAAAATGCAACAAACAACAACCATTTCCACATCCCAAATTCCACATCACAGTGTCTTGAAACCGTTTACTGGCTGCATGGCATTCTGGCGAATCGTCCACAAAGAGCGGCGAACCTAGTTGTTCAGGGTACAGTCTCTGGAACCAGAATGCCTGGGTCCAAATCCTGCTCTGTCACTCATTTGCTGTGGGACTTGGGGCAAGTTATTTCACCTCTCAGCCTCAGTTTCCTCATCTATAAAATGGGGAAAATCAGTATAGCTACTTAACTGCTTACCACAAAGCCCACTGGCCCTCATTCAAGCAGGAAAAGCCCTGGTTCCGTCAGTACTCAGCAAGGTAACCTGCAGAAAGTCACAAGGATTTCTGTGGCTCCTTGTCTACCTTTAATTATAAGGAAGTGGATTAGGACTCATCAATCCTGAAACTCTGTCATGGTCAAGACACTTTTACCAATCTCAGGAAAATGATTCTTTCTCCCAAAAATGCCCCTGCGCACAAACGTGCAGGAGTGTATGTCATTTAAGGGGCTCACAAACCCCCGAAGCCCGTCACTATCCTTTAGGTAGGACCTTCTCAGCCAGGTGACGTTCAGAGGCCACTCCAGGTCTAACACTTAATGACCTAACATTCCGAGGACAATTTTCATAAAACCACCAATGCAGTTAAGGCACCCGAGAACATGGAACTTTTACTTTTTGTTTCAATCACTTTTCATTTGGCTACAGAGTCCTCATTGGGAGACAATTTCATGAAAGGCATATCTTTTTCTTTTCTTTGGTACCGTTTCCCTAGAACTCAAGAGAATAAAGAAGTCATTCTTATCATCAGAGCCTGGGGGATGGGCACAGCCCCCAGAACAACTGACATACTTTCTATCATTTTAGTCTTTGAAGTATTTTAAGCTGGCATTGTTTAAAAATACATGAAAATGGATTTGCTTGAAACTATAGAAATTAGTTTCCTGTATTAACTTATAAAAAAAGTTTAGTTCTCCCAAACAGGATCTCTAATCAACAGAGAGTCTTTCCTTCCAGTTAAATTCAATAACTATGTATTGAGCACCTCCAGGTACACGGCTTACTAGAGGTGTGGAAGAGATAAAGACAAAGATACTCTTTTTGGCCTCAAGGGTTTCCCAGAGATAGGGCATTATGATCTGAATTATTGACATTTTATCCACTTTGTTTTTATAAGAGCTGTATTTAAAAACACAGTAATATGGAAGTGTGTGGCCCAAGTATAATATGGCCTTACAGGCATTTAAATGGCAGGGAGCTCAAGGGAGTTAGTAATACTCAAGGTGGGCAGGTCATGAAGACTATGCAGTGCAACTATCTCGAGTATGAACTCAGACTGGTGAATTGTTGATTTTTTAACACCTCTATTGAGAGGTGAATAACATCCTCTTTAAGGTACTCTAAGTACTAAAAAATTATTACAACATTAGGCCCAAAACTGTCTCCTTACCCCTGGGAACCTAGTTCTGCCCCTGGGGACAAAATAAAAAACACACTGAAGTCATGGCCCCACATCTTCTCTTGGCTGCCTAAGTCTTTCTTCCTTGAGCCTTCACTCATGTGAAACAGCTCTGAGTCCCTTCATCACTTCCTCTAAACTTTCTCCGAAGAGAGGCGGTTTCTCTTTCCAAATAAGTCTGTTTCTTGGAATACCACAGACAGGTAAGTACGACCCATACGTCCATCTTGTATCCCAGACAACCAAGTCTCAACACGATCTACAAAAATGTTACACTCTCTAGCTCAGTTTTTTAAATTATCAATCCCTGCAATGCTGAAATGCACACCATCACTGGGCATCTTTCTGCCTTCCTCTAATTCATGCCTCACAACTGCTTTTATTTTAAAAAGTTCCCCTGGAAGAAATGGTAGTTGTAGCTTTAAATCTATTCAAATTCTCCCATAAAAATAGAATAGCAAGCTAGACCTATGAACAGTATATACATAAAAACTAGACGACGGAGTATCCCCATGAACGCTTAAATGAGAGTTCGTGAGGACAAAGACCTACGTGGTCTCACCATCTGCGAGAGAGGAAAGACAGGAAGTGTATCGGGGCTTCTGCGGGCCCTGAGAATGAAAGAACCCCAAAATTAACAACATGCATTCACTGGAAATGTGAACAAAACTGGAGAGGGGTCTGCAGAATCCAATTCACTGGGTGAATACAAGAGGACAGTCTAACAACAGAAGGCTAAGTGAGAACAAGCCTCAGAGATTTCAAGTAGCTGGCATGGACCAGAGTAATGGATTTAATAATTTTCACCATGGAGCCTCTCGCTTGCATAGGCATGTTGTTTAACTACACCCATATTTAAGAATCACCACCTTAAAACCATTCTGGAACAAGGAACAGTATAAACAAACATAAAAATATTCATTGCGGAAATACTCATTTTGAGCCTAAAGTCCATTAAGTTAATTTTCCCTGGTCATTCTCCCCTAAGTCACTTTTACCTTACTTTAGGTTTTTGCATTTAAATTTGAACTGGGTTGCTCCTGCGTAATGAGTGAGCCGATGAGTAGCACCTCCAAATTCCCTCAAGGCGGCATTTCTATATGTTGATGTTTTAAGCTCAGTGCCGGTAGCAGTGTACTTTCACAACTCTAAGGGCGTTCATTGATGGTGGAGTAATATTTAATATGTCACGACAGATAAGCAGGTGTTTCATCTGTTCACCTAAGGTGGAGAGCTACAGAATGCCTCCAGGATGATTGGATTTTGGTGCATAAGGAACTATTTCACCAAAGCACATGGACTCCATGGTTTTATTGTTGTTTTTGATAGTTCACACCCCCTGCCCACACCCCCCCACTACCCATCACTGCCATTGTGCCCAGATTTCTTTCTCTTCTGCTTCTATCAACTTCTCAGGTAGCTAGCTGGCTCACACTTTCATTCATTTATATACAGACATTTTTTCTTTTCACAAACCATAAAGCAATTCCTGTATTCAGTATATGAACTCACAGCCTGGCCCCAGGGCTGCCTCACAGCTGTGCTATAACACAGCTGAGCTGTTCTATAGCCTTGCTGTTTTCAGAGCTGTGCTGTATCACAATATCACAACTGAGATGTTCTGCACTGAATAAAGTTTCCTTCTTCACCACACCCGAAACTGGGAATTCCTACTGCTGTTGAATTGGTGCCAGGGGCCATCGGTTGACAGCATGGCTTCTAAACGAATGACAGTTGTCTTGGAAGAATGGGAATCCTACAGAGGGAGGAACTATTATCAGATCAAGAAATATTCACCTTTGTATAAGTTTTAATCAGGATCCATTTTCTCTGACCAGTTAGTCAAAGAAATTATTTGAGTGCTTCTGCCTACCAACCTCAAAACAGAATGAGAACAATAATAAAGAGAGAGAGAGGGTAACCTAGTCCTCAAGCTACTTCTCATCTGTCTAAGGAGCCAGAGTAAGACACCTGTGACATGCTGTCAAACACAAACCTGCAGTGGAACAGATCGCTCAGTGATCTTTGTTTTACCAAGAGAAAGGGGGAAAAGCACGCAATAGGTTTTAAAAAACTGTTCAGTGGAGCCCAGCCAGGCATGGCTCAGCGGTTGAGCATCGACCTAGGATGCAGGCGATCGGTGTTCGATTCCCGGTCAGGGCACATGCCCGGGTTGCAGGCTCGATCCCTAGTCGGGAGCGTGCAGGAGGGAACAGATCAGTGACTCTCTCATCATTGATGTTTCTATCTCTCTCTCTCCCTCTCCTTTCCTCTCTCTGAAATCAATAAAAATATATTTTAAAAAACAAACAAACAAAAAACTGTTCAGTGGAACAAAACTGCCTTAGGGACTGCTACCTGGGGTGGGAAAGGAAATGAGTACAACGGGATAATCCTCCACACCCATCACCCACAATCAATCAGATAGTTATTGTTTTATCTTTTTACAAATTAGGGCCCACAGGGTTTTGTTTTAAAAAACTTCAGTTAACCAAAACCTCAAGTTTAAAAATCCCTAAGCTAGAAGATCTCTAAGGTCCTTTCTAGTTATCGATGCTCCACAATTTTAGGGTCTCTTAATCAACCAACTTCAACTTGTCACTGAGATCCCCAGATTTGGGGCAGACTATTTACTATTCCACTCACTGTTCTTATGGCTCTATCTTAGGATGACGTTATGATGGATTCAGAGAACCACTAGCAAACAGGAAACCTGGGTTATATGTCTTCGAGTGGCCCGCAGAAATATTCGACAGAGTAAGATACTTCTGAAGGTACTTAGAGTAAAAAAAGTTGGTCAATTGGCAAAATAATTGAGGACTTGGAGGGTGTAGCTGGCTACCACTGTGGATGACTGTTCTCAAGCTATTCAGCAGTATTGCATCAACAACAGTTCATCTTAAAACAAACCATTTAGCTTTGGACACCACATGGTAAATGAATTGCACAGCAATACCTTTAATTATTGGATTAAATCCCACTGTTCAATATAATAATTAAATGCCAACATTGATTTTAAAAAACCCTCATTATGATGAAATGAATACCTGAGAGTATCTGAACTTATTACAATATAAGTTCCCATCAAAATAGATAAGCGGAAGCCTGGAAAGAATTCTTCCAAAAGGCTGCACACAGCTAATTCCATTACCTGACCCCAGCCTGCGTGGTCATTTTCCTTACTGTAATTCCCCTGGAGCAGAACCAGTATCCATCATAACAAAAACTCAAGCGAAGAGTCAAAGAATATGCTGTGTTTTGGGGATCTCTGATCTGGTACAAATTCCACCCACAGGGAAAACAAAAATTCTTATTAGTGAGTCAGTATATATACCTGACATATTCCTCTACTGAGCTCACCTAATGAAAAAATACTATCATTTGGGTCAAATATGAAATTTATACTGATTCTGTTCACTAACGCCTTCAGTTCTCTGCAACGTAAGTTTGAGTCACGGGTCTGTAAAGAGTCTGCTTGTAGAGCTGCTGGAATATCCCTCTGGGCAAGCACCTGCACACGGGCTGCAAATATGCAGGTGCATTTGAAGAATGGAATTGCCTTCACTCAATGCGCACGGACAGGGTTTAGCATTACAAAGTGGCCCCCGCCCTACCACTGTACATGTGGGTGAGCATACCCACAGAATTAAACAAGGCAGGACCAAAACCAACACCAAAAATAAAACCCAAAGGATACAAAACAATTTATGGTCATTGTCCCATTTAGCTACAAGGTAATATGGTCTATAGAAGCTTCTCAGAATCAGGAAAACTGAAGTGCCAGATGACTTTTAAAGTAGGAGGTATATGGGACGACTGTGTTCTCAGAAGCATCATTACCTGACAGACATCAGAACGGATGCCAGTTTTCCAGAATCCTTGGCTACTTAGCTCCACCGTTACTTCTCGCCTCATTGTATTCTTCTGTCGTATTTTTTGGAGCGCTTCCTAGAAAAGAACTCATTATGATGAGTAACCTGATGGTTGTAAAGCAATTTCAAGCCAAACATCAAGCATTAGAAAATAAGCTAGATTCATTCAATATCACCCTTACATTAAGGTAGTCAAGCTTTTCATGCCAAATTACAATAATTTACTTGAAATGAAGACTGGAATGCTCAAAACCTTGGGTAACTAGATATGAAAAAATTCTTTACCAAATCTACCATTCTGGCAAGTTCAAATGAAAAATGACCTTTCATTGATTAAAAACACACACAACAAAATATAAAACAAAGTGTAGTGTTTGGTTTTGAAATCAGCATGTAAAAATTATATCAAGCCTTATGTCAAGCATTTACATCTAAGAAAGACAAGAAATACATTAACCTGCAACCCACACAATTCTAAAAGTTGCTTTCAAATTTGCCAACCCATTATAGAAACTCTTACAGCAAGGGTACATTTTATTAAAAAAATAATAATAATAATCTAAAGCTTCTGCAAGACATAATCAGGAACTGACTCCTTTTACTGCCCTTCAAATAATTAATCATAAAAATGATTTTATATTTGTATACTTATTCAATAAAAATCTCATAGGAATTTGTAATAACAAAGGAACCACCACCACCACCGCTGATTAGAGGAAAAGTTAAATGGACTATTTCAGAGGTCCTCACAACCACCTTTTTCCCTGGAGCACGAACAAAGGGACTGTTCAGTCAGCCTCTCTCAGCCCTGCTGCCCTCTTTCACACTGAAACTGACTGGCTCAAGTCACAGCAAGTGGCAAAGACGGAATTCAAACACATTCCCCAGCTTCAAAGCTTTGCTCTTACACCACCAAGCAGAATAAAAGCTCGTCGAGACCAAATCATTTATACTGGAATTCATTTACTCTTAAAATTATAACTAAAACATAAATGATCCTGGAATACAGCGATACTACTACCCATTAATAAGGAAATGTGGAATTTAGAATATAAAGCCTTACAAAATAAGTTCACCCTACTAAACTGACCAACATATGGAAGACAATCTTTACAACCTTAAGACCGAGAAATTTGTATAAGACCCAAAGTTATATTATGTGCAGTCTAATTAATAATAAAAAGCTCATCCAGCCAGCTTTAAACTTAAATTTTAAAGGCATACTTATTCCCAATAGTAGCAATCCATTAAGAAACTACCCTTTTTTTCAAGAAAGAAAGAGGGAGGGAGGAAGGGAGGGAAGAAACTATTCTTTTTAGGAGGAAAAATGGTTCCTTAGGTACTAATAAGATGAAAATAAATTAATCAGCATACTAATGTGAGGACGGGTGTAAAGTATGATTCTTTAAAACTATTTTTCCATCTTATTCTAGAAGTGTAGGCCATGCAACAATCTTGAAATAAACCTGAAGCGCATCATCATTAATCACAGAAGGACAGGGTTCAATACCCACCTCCCTCTGTGCCAGCTTCTGTTTGTCCGTCTGTTTGACTTTGGGACTATTGGCCAGGAGGTGGCGAAGTTTCACGTAACTCTTCCACAGTTTCTGGTACCTAAGGAAAAAGACAGACAGACATCTTAAACAAAGAGGTGGGGAAGCTCAGGCACAAGAAAGCCAATTGTTTTAACAGGCCTGTTCAATCTTAAATTGCATCCTTGTTTTATATCATAATGGCAGCAAACCTTCATTCTAAGGAAGGATATGGTTTTGGGGGGTAAAGGTGACCTGGAACCTAGTTATTTTGTTGATTATTGCTTATTTCAGTTGAAAAGGAGGTGTCACTATATGGATGAATCTCTGGAAAGAACTCCAAAGGAGATATACAAAACCAACAGATATGTATGCCGTTTCTCACTGTCACCTCTCTGAAAGTAACACATTTTATTTAAATATGTACTTTCTGATGTTTATAGAGAGAAAGGCCGACCCCTTACTTAATAAGGATCCTGTCAGGCTCTGAACTGCCCATACGGAAAGCAGAAGTTGGAAAGTATTAGAAAAGAAAGCCCCACTTGTGCCAATACCCAACCTACATGGCTATATCCACTTTCCACTGGGGAGGGGAAAGACCAACGGGGTGCACCACTTTGTATCCACCACGGCAAAGATAAGCCCTTTTGCGGCCAAATATGCAGTAGCCTGGGTCAGCTAAAGGTATGACACTGCTAAAGCGCGTGGGAGCCAAGAGCGAGTCCCTAGTCATCCACGCCTGCCACTGCGTCCCGTCACGAGAGCCTCATCACATTCTACTAACATTTCTCCGACAAGGGCCTTTCAGAGGGTTTTCTATCATCTTGAAACAGCTTCTGTCACTGAAACTGCTCCTTTCTTGGCCTCAGCTGGGCCTCTCCTTTTGGGGAACAGTTTCTTAGAGAATGGAGGAAAGAAAGAAGTACTTACACAGTGCCTGGTTCACCGCTTCATACTTTTATCCAAAGCGGGGGGAGAAAGAACAGAGCCCTTTAGCCTCTTCTAATATATTAGCCAGAAGTGTACTTATGAATTGAAAATCCCCCACGCCCTTGTCTCCCATTATGAATCCTTTAAAAAAATTAAGTCAGGAAACTTTTCGTTTGTTGAAACGAAAAAGTAGGAAATCCAGACACTTTTGAAGAAAATAATGGTACTAACTCCAAACCCACACATGCTCATCTTCTCCCAGAAAAACACTAACATGCCATAAGAAAAACCCAAGTGTGGAAAGTAACATCAATTCTGAAAGTCAGAAGCCACGGCTTCTCCTTCCAACACAACCCTTAGCTTTGCATGGGGTCTTGAGCTCTCATTAAGATGCTCCAAAAAATAGGCCTCTGCATAAATTCAGCAGTGCTAGGAACCAACATGGTGCTACTTTCCTCTAGAGGGCACTGAAAAAATAAAAATAATAATAACAGTAAGTATTATAATGACAAATAAATGAAAAGTTCCTTAAAGGTTAAGTACATACAGGACTCTTATTGACCACGATTGCCATGGATAATCTATTAAGTGATATTTCCTGCAGTCAAATATGTACAGAAAATAATCTTTCAGGAGCTACCAAAACTAGTTTCATTTGGTGATCTCAACTGGAAACATGGCTCATTTTAGTTCTTCATTTTTTAAAGGAAAACATCCAACTAAAGGGTAGTCCTCTGCTAATTCAGCTGTTAGTAGAAGGTGAAATTGGCTAAGACAAACACCGAGAAATATCTTACTGTGGGTCTCCTGCATAACTCAACTGTGCAGGGCGTATCCCAAAGTGAACGATAATTGGAAAAGTAATCACATCGGGGTTGAACTGTTCACGATCCAGTTGGTCAATGCGGACAGAGCTTGGTTTCTACAGAGAAAAATCAAAGCCATTTATTCCCATAAGAAGTCTTTAAGTATTGACTTTAACCTAAGTAGGAAAGAAATTAATCAGATTTTTTTTCCTAGGAAAGCCTCATGCCCAAAGGGAAAATGTCATTTAAACCCTTTAATCATAGCAGCTACACTATATAAAAACTACAACGTCATCGCTGTAAATGAGTCCACGCCATTTGGCATAATGAACAATGATCTGGTCCTTCTTTTTGCAGTCCACATAGAAACCTTTAAAAATTAAACTTTTAAAAGGACACCTGGTCAGATATAACTTTTCCTTAACCTCTCCAAAGGCACAGGGGAAGTATTCCACATCATGGGGAAGAGACGTGCTTGCTGCTTATTCTTTAATTTCACATTTCAAATGAATAGCTTACGTCTACTCAGGACGCACAGACAGATGCCTCTATATAATTTTTTTCCCATTAGTTCTCTGTGTACCTTATGTATTCCTTTCATTCCACATCTTTAAATGAGAAGGTACGGCAGTGCAAAGGCCAAATGGTTAAGCTTCTCTTATTAGGTCATGCAGGCCATTTTTAATTATAATAGAGAGCCTCATATTCTTTTGTTCAAGACTAATAAAGGAAGTGACAGCTAGTTCCTTCTTGAGTTACTAGAATATAAGGAAACATTTACAAAATACCTTTCGTCCTGAATGCTTAAGTTTGTGAAAAGATGGCAAAATCATGGAGAGAATGTTTTAGCAACCTTCTTGCAGTCCTCTATAATCAGAAATTAAATTCTTACTAGGAGATCGTGGGATCTTTGGCTCAGTTGCTTCAGAGTCCAAGGCTATAGAATTGATCCACAGCGAGGTCAATAAGCTTCATTCTGTCGCACAGCCATGACCAACAACTAGAGTCTGGTTGGTGGTCTGGACTGTCCAGGATTGAGGATTTTCAACGCTAAAAGCGGGAAAGCCCCCAGCAACTGGGACAAGCTGGTCACCCTATCCACAGCTGTAGCCCCAGTCAGCCATCTGACAAATCCAAGGAGGTGGCAAAGTGAACAGGTAAACTAATAAATTCATCCACATTAGTTTAAAAACAACTTACACTTAAGTGTTTAAAGAATCTGTAAATGCTATTTAACAATCAAAATTTCACTAGTACTTAAAAAGTTGACTCTGCTCTCAAAATTAGTAACTAGAGATGATTTTGGTCACAGGTAACCTAATACAAAATTATATAAATGTTTATCAATGGTAACAACATGTTATTTAGGTCTCACAATGGTTTCTAATACTTGATGCATCAGAGCAACAGGATTCATTTTTAAAAGAGGAACTGCACAGCTAAAGAGTGCTAGTGAATTATTCATGTTTCCATGATTTTAAACATGCTATGGTACCAACAAGGAAACAGTGATTTAAAATATCTATACTATCTCTCAATTTATATGAATGAGGGAGGAAAAGAAAATAAATTCTAGAATTTGGCGACACCCTACAATATGTATCACCATTTTTGTAGAAACAGAATAAAAAAACATTCTCGCTAATGACCAAAGTATTCTCTGGCAGAGGCCAAGTGCTGAGAGGAAGATTAATTTTTTTAAGTTCTGCAGCAATAAAATACTTAATGTGACCATAATGGCTTGAAATTTTAATAGATTTCCCAATATTCTTACCATTGGCGATCTTTCAAAGCACGTGCTGCAGAGGGTGAAATGTATATTCTGCCCTATTCTCAAAAGGATATAATGAAAGATGTTTGAATGATATTGAGTTTTCAGGACTTTTTCCTCCTTTAAATGTATTTTTAGGTAAATACTAAAAAAGAATTAACTTCAACACGTCCCAAAGCCTGGCCTCCAAATCTACCTTTCTTAATTTATTTCTGACTACCTTCCAACATAAACCTTCATCCTGACTAACCTGGTTTCTTCATTATCTTTAAACTGGCCATACTCTATGCCAAGTATGTACATTTAAACATGCCAATAGTTTATATGATTTCTCGATTCCTAAAAGGCCTCGCTGTAGTGTCCGTGAAGCATCCCTGGCAGCCCGGCCAAGTGATCTCACCTAAAACTATGAGCCTTCACAGCAGGCTTTTTACTGACTGGTCCATCAACTTAATGATCCATCACAGACTCCTTTTACATGGATATGCTGTGAGACTGCACCTGGACAAGCGTCACATACATCCACACACTTCACTAGCCCCTGGCTCACTTACTTGTCCTTCAACAATGAGCTGAATGAAGATCATGGTCATGGAGTAAATGTCCTCCATGTCATCGGCTCAGTAACAAGCAATGAGTGAATCTGAAGCACCTGGGGATTTTTTTTTTTAACTACAGATCTCTAGGCCCCTGGAATATATGGCATTCGTACACTTTCATAAGCTCTCCAACTGATCCTAGGATTTCAGGGAATTTTAACCATGCCATGGAAGAAAGCTCCAGGGAGAAAGTGTTCTCCAAGTGTCCACTGTAAATCATGGGACGCTGAAGTGGACCCACCGAGAGATGAAAAGATGTGTCTGCCACAACCGTCACCCCAGCCCACCTTCTGACCCAGCTATAAACCTGACAGTTGAAATGTGAATTTACACCGCTATTTAAAGAAAAACTAAATTCACGGTCATACTCTCATAGTGCTATGACTCGTAGATTTCTTTTGAAGTTACTTTAACAATTATTCATGTGGCTTAATGTAACAGTAAAAACTGCATTTTTTTTAGTTTTAAATAGGTTTTATGTTGAAAACCATTTTTATTAAACACTCTAATTTTCAAGATCTGTTTAAAATAATCAGCAGTAGCTGGAATGTTTGGTTTGCAAATAACAACATTTTGTTTGTGCAGATGTCGCTGCCACGGTACAGAAAGTTGGTCCAGAGTTTTTATTTTTATGAATCATGACTATTAAACAATTTGGCAGCCTTTTTAAAACAACAGCTTTGTTTAAACAGATTACTCTGTTTCTTTACATGGAAATATTTTAATTCTCCATTTCTGGAAAATGTTATCCTGATAAGATGCCAATATAAAACTATTTTATGAAACAATAACATATTTTGAAGAAAATATAATTTTAATAAATATAATATATAAAACAGCATTTCCTTTATAAGATAAATCTAGTTATCTTTTAATTTTCTCTTTTAATTTTTATATTTTTATTTCAACAATTAATCTTAGAAGCTAATATTTTTTAAAAGATAAGAAACAAAAGAAATGGGAAATATTTGTAATAATTATGGCAAAAGGTCAATAAAAGGATCGACAAAAAAGGACAATACCACAATAGAAAGTTAGTCAAAGGGTATTAATAGGCCATTATCAAAAGAAAATATAAAAGGCCAATAAACATTTAAAATATCGATTTTTTTCTAGAAACTAAAATAAATACAAAACTGAACTAAATAGCACTTTGTCCCTATCAAATTGACAAAGGCATTTTTTGTTAAAATAGTACAACCAATATGAAGAAATGGGCACCCTCATACTCTCATCGTCAGAGTGCTAATTGTACAACCCTTCTGGAAGGTCTCTGCCCTGTGCATCAAAAGCCTTAAAATGCGCATATATTCAGACGACTGATTTCGCTGACAGAACATCTTCCCAAGGAATTAAATGGACAAATACTTGGAGATACATACGTACACATATATACACACACAGACAAATTCAATACAGCGTTGTTTGTTCCAGTGAAAGTCTGGCAGCAACCTAGCTACCCAACAATGACGAGGTAATTTTATAACACAGGGGCCCTTTTTTTTTTACCCTCCTAAAGATATTTAAGACTATGGAAAAATGATATTTCGTGGTTGTTTCTGGAGGAGCATGAGAAGGAAAAGGCGTGAATATTTAACAATTAATAAAATAATACTTAATAGTAGGATGACAATTTTTTTCCAAAACAATATGAAATATACCTATCCTAAAGAACTGAATAGTATCATCTGTGCAGAATGGAATTTTGGATGATTTTTATCGCCTTCTTTGGGCTGCTTTTGTATTTACCAAATTTTCTATAGTGAAGACATATTACTTTTATACCTAGAAGAAAACTAGAACTGAACATACCTAAAAACTTCAAAATCCTCCATAAGGCGTAGAATAAATTTACCCGTAAGATGAACTCACTACCAAACATGCCCACATTGTAAGTTTTCATATTGACTAAATAGTTTTAAATCGCTCAAGGGTAAGAAGCAGTGAGCACACAAAGCTTTGGAAGTGTTGTCACGTCTTCCTGGAACGTTCACACCTGGAAAGAAGGCGGCTGGTCTCTGACCGTGTGAGCGCCAGGACCTACCGTGCCGGGGTTGGTGACAATCATGCCTTTGCACTCTTCCGCGTATTTCTGCCACTCGAGCTCCTCCCACTGCAGCATGTTGGCGATCTCCTCCTCGGGCACCAGGGCTTTGCTGCAGCGCAACAAGTAAAGCAGGATCTGGTGCATGGACAGCACTTCCTTCCCTCCATCTTGGGCGGGAGTGGAGAGAAAAGGGGAATATAAGGCTACTCAACGAACAGCCAATCAGCCAAGTGAGGAAACACAAGACAACAGAGACGAAAGAGTGCTCGTAAAAAGGTAATTTAGAATTTACATTGTTTAACCAGGTGCCAACTAATCCGAAAGCCGTCTGTTTCACTGATGAACAGTGCTCATAAACCATCTCATTTACTAAAACAGTAAGAACAACATTATAAATGATAAAAAGCTCCATTTGTAAGATGTGAATATAAAAAAGTGTCCACCTAAATAAATTTAAAACCATCTAGCAAGAAGAACCACAGTTTTAATATACAGAACTTAAATATTTTCTCATTCCTCCTAGGGTCACAGATGAAAGCCCTGTAGCGGCGATGCTATCGTCTTAAGGAAATTCCAAGCTTGTGAGATGTTCACAGTGTTTTCAATAGCTATTGTCGTGTGATGGTCTAATTTTTTGGTGCTAATGTGCTGCACCTGCCGTGATGAACAGAACTGAGGAGGCTGTACTAATATCATGTAGCTCATTATGGATTCAGCACACGGAAAAATACCAAGTATACTGAGGCTTACAGAGCACATATTACCAAATACTGAAGATAAAGACAACAAAGGACATAATTAAAGCACCTTGGAAAAGGCCAATTAATCTGGTACTTGATGAACCAAAGACTCATTTAATGTGGGCATTACTTTCAGGTGCACAGGCTTCTGCCTTCTCTTCAGACTTAGCTTCTTGACCAAGATGGGCAACCACCTTATACCCTTCCTTTGCTCAGGCCCGCCCAAAGGAAGAGCAAGAGCCCGGAGGGTTCAGGGGACAACGGCTACCCTCCCAGGTCACGAGATGTGCTAGAAGCAGCAAGACAGGATCAAACACTTCATGGAGAAATGAGGGAACCAAGGTGGTGGGGACAGGTGGGCACAAACACGAGTGTCCTATTTGTGCTGGAGCAGTTAATGCCACCCAAGGAATTTGGGGTCCCAGAAAATGGAAAAGGTAAAAGGCTTTAACACAAGTTGCTGTGGCTAAGAACCTGGACAAGCCCACACATGTGCGAAAGGAGAGCAAATATCAAGGTTTCTTCCTTCCTTCCTTCCTTTCCTTCCTTTCCTTTGTTTCTCTCTCTCTCTCTCTCTCTCTCATCTCAGATGCTACTCTGAAACTAGATGGCATTGCTGCTAGAGCTACTATATGTAGGCATGCATTCATTCGTTACTATAAATATTTCTTCATTAATTCAACAAAGAGTTACTGAGTACCTACTATGAAACAGGCACTACATCTTCCAGATGCTGGAAACACAGTGGCGATCTAAACTGTCAAAGCCCCTTATGTTCCAGTGGAGAAAAAGGGACAATCAACAGCAACCACATAACAGATCAGGTGGAAATGACTGCTATAAAGAAACGACTGGGCAAGGGATTGCAGCTATGCTGAAACGGGTGGTCACGAAAGGTGCATGTGAAGCGGCACCATGTGAGCCGAGATTTGAAAGCAGAGGAGCCCATCATGCAGCAACCTGGGGGAAACAGTCCTGGTCAGACGAAACTGCACAAGTCCACAGGTGCAGTGAGACGGATATGTTCCAGGAACTGCAAAGAGCCAGTGTGGATGGAGTGAGGAGAGAGTGAGGCGGCAGGAAAGTCCGAGCCTTACAGAGCACAGGAAGAATTCAAGATTTTATTCTCAGACAGAAGCATGTTTTTCACCATTATGTGCCCTATGACTGGGCCCATATTACAGTCATGGGGGGGAAAAATACAAATTAAACCATAAGGTCTAGGCCCTCATAAAGTACATGGGCTAACAGTGACTCATCACAGTTCCTAGAGGCAACTTTGTAAATAAAATTCTGAAAACAGAGTTCTCTTAACTAAAGACACTGAGCTGCTCTAAAAAAATTGTCGAAGTGACTAAAATGCAAAATACAATCAACCCACATGAGGATGTGTTCTACTACTGATTCAGATTACTGTTCACAGCAGTGAAATTTTTTATGCCTCATTATAAAACATCTGCCGTAGACCCAGGAATCACCTTTGATTAACAAACTTGCATTGTTATAGACCTATTTCCCAGAGTTTGTCTCAAAAGACATTTCGATCTGCCTGCATGTGGTATCTTCCTCAATAAAAGGTTCCCCTTTCTGCAAAGGAGCCCAGCAAACCCATAATGCCTATTTGTCATGTCTACTATCAGTCTGAGCCCACTGTAATCTCTGCTTCTAGGAGCCCTGAGGTGAGCAGGTGGACAAGAGAACTCCAGGGCTGGAATATGCTGACTTACACTGCATGTATACCCATCCAGAACAGCAGGGATAATGGAAACCTAGAGAGCCTTGAGAAGAACAGCCACACTGAATGGACTCACTAGGAACCAAGGAAAGAGTAACATAGTATTTGGCTCATAATCTTGCATTTGGTAAGATTACTGAAGAGTACTGTGGGCCTATGAGGATGCATCAGGAGTCTAGGATACCATCAGAAGGAGCAGAGGGTTGTTTTGCTATAAAGATCAGAAAAAAAGATTAAGATTTTGCCCGGCCGGGCGTGGCTCAGCGGTTGAGCGTAGACCTAGGATCCAGGCGATCGGGGTTCGATTCCCAGTCAGGGCACATGCCCAGGTTGCGGGCTGTAGCCGATCAATGAGTCATCATTGATTTTTTTTTCTCTCTCTCTCTCCCTCTCCTTTCCTCTCTCTGAAATCAATAAAGATATATTTTAAAAAAAAAAAGATTAAGATTTTATTTGGAGAGTTTGGCACATGGTGGATGGAGCAAGTAGAGACAGCTCCAAGTATACGAAATAGCACTAGAATCTTACCACAAGCAGTTACAGATGGCCGAGTTCATGGCACTCCCAATAAAAGTGAAACAGAGCAGGAGCACTGAATTTAAAGCAAAAAAACTGAAAGAGTAACAAGGAGAGGAAAATACTTAAGCCTACAAACCAAGGGTACTGCCCAATGTAGGAAAACACTCGCAAGATAAAGAAAGAAGGCCAGCCCACGCTAACAAGAATGCTTCTACCTAGTCTGGGTGCAACGCTGCCAACGAGGAAGGAGACTTTCACAGCGGCATAGAAACTAGAAATACTTTTCTTAAAAAAATAGACACACGAGGTGCAAAGTTGGTAATGCTGAAAGAGGAAGGGTAAATCCATGTTGAAATCTGCTACATATTTAAAATAGCACCTAAAACCTAAAAAGAGAGATATTGACCACTCTGGAAAAGCAGAAACCCAGGACAGATAACCTAAGGAGGGGGGCTGAGGCACTGCTCCAGGGCCAATAACGGGGTGCAATCCTATGGAAACATAAGAAAAGGGAGACAAGACAAGAGAATCCTGCCAGAGCCCATGCAAGGGCTATAGCCTCATACCCAGCCCAGCAAAAAAGACAGTCATAAATATTTGTGGAATGACTTTCTGGAGCAGATAAATAACATGGCCACTTGCTCACAGACCGCCATGAATTTACTAATGTTAATGAATTGGCTCTTTTGGTTCGTCTGCTTTGCTACATGTTTATGTCAGGGATTTATGGGACTGTGTCACCGAGGGCTAAGAAGTCATTTTTATCTCGTTGGCGGAGATGAATGGGACCTGATATAAATGAGAAGTTAGAGCGGGTAGGTGAAGGTTAGCGGGAACTGTGCCAGCACTGGGGCTGGAGCCGCGACAACGGGAAGAACCGGAGTTTGTGTTTCAGGGAATGAATCTGGACAGTCATTAATGAACTGACAGACTTTATAAACTGTTTCTTCGAGACCCAAGCCTCTCCACTTATATTGCTTGATTATTTATACAGATATCTGCAGGGGAGGGCAATTTGTTAAGGAATTTGTGTTAAGAATATGGCTGGTTACACAAGTGTTTCTCAACAGCCTAACACTCAATTTTCAGAAACACAAACATGCCTTCCTCCTTCCCCACACTGAGAAGGGCTGTACGACTACATTACTGTGTCTCCTGTGTGTTTCTGCTGAGACGCCTTTAAACAATCTTCACCATCGAAAATCTGTACTAACAACGGGTATTTTCTAAACTTTTCAAATATAAAGTTCTATTACGATGCTATTTCAGTGTTTTTTCAAGCCACACTTGCCTCCCTGGGGATTCTGAGATCCTCTCCCGCCCGCTGGCCCTCTAGCAGCCACACTTGAGAACTACTTCTCCCGAATGGGGCAATTTCCAACAACCGATCTGCTATATAATCGATTTGCAAACTTGATTCAGGATTTCCAAAGCTTCACCAGAGCAATGATATAAGCAATGAATAGGCTGCACTGAAATCGGCCTTCCTGTCTTCCATTACACCGAGCCCCGCCCCAGCTGCAGTGGAAATAAAACCTTAAACTGCCTCTAGGAGAGTTCATTTCAACTGTTTGACTAACTAAAGGTAGGGACAGGGACAGAAAGAAAAACAAAAATTTGAAAAAAATTCTTAAAATCTCAATAAACTCTTTGGTCTATGGTTTGCCTTCTGGTAAACTGACCTCCACTGAATAAGCCTTGGTTTAAACTATAAGCTTAATTTTGGACAAATCTGTATAAAGCAACCAAGACAGCTGTCTTCAAAACAAGTAAACTGGAGAACTGAAGAAAAAGCATGATGCCTGATAAACTTTCAATTAGAGATAATAAGCTGATATAAGTGAAAAGCAAAGAGAGTGAGAGGACCGTGACAAGCCTGACATACGAAAGCTGCACGTTCTCACAGGAGTGCCAGTAAGATGCAAACAGTAACGATGAGATTACTTTCTGCCTATTAGACAAAACTACAGAAGACAAGTACTATTCAGTGTTGGCAGATGTACAGAAAATGGGTGCTGTTAAAAATGTTGGCTACAGCTACAAATTATGTCCTTTTTAGAGAGAACTTGGCCAATATCTTCCCAAATATAAATGTGCATTCTGTCATAACAAATCATTTCACTTCTAGGACTCTACTTTATAGAAACATTGACATAAATGCAAAAGGACAGAT